TTAGCATTTGTCAGCAGCCTGCTTGCGTGTGTGCGTGTCCGCGTGTGTGTCTGTGTTCGTTTAAAGGTTATGGTGAGGACTGAGACCTGATGCGACACCTATTTACGGTGACTTCTCTCCGTTAGAAGCAAATATGTGCAAATTGCTTGCTGGGAGTTTTACTTACAGCAAGGATGTGCACCAGGAACACAGGTCATGAAAAAAGACCCCACACATGATGCCGCCCTCACCCATGCTTGACAGCTGTTAAAAGGAAGTGTTTTCTTGACTTTTCCAAATACTTCAAAAATAAATTAATCACTCTAATGTCAGCTCTGATTGTATGTAACCCTAGTACATTCTGCTTGTTTTCAGGTGCGCTTAATACCTCCTTTTTGCCTAGTGTTATGTGTGGGATTGTGCTGGTGACTGCGTGTGAGACTTCATTTACATGCATGCATCTTGCTTGCATGGAAGTGTTATGAATGCAGGGCTGTTGATCCCGTTGAATTATTGATGGCAGGGGGAGGTCAAGGATGCCGCTCACTCTGGATCACACAGAGGACGGAATAGAAACCAACCCTGGCAGCGGCACGCCAAGCCACTCTACCCACTGGCTGCACGCACAGCTAGACTGTCTCATTAACAGGGGCCCGTTTTTAGACGTTGCAGTTTGTTGCGTGTTTGCTTTTGTAGTAATATTAGTCATAGATCTGCTAAAGAAAAGACACGTGCGATCATAATGCCTCGAGCCCTGTTATTTGTCAGTGTTTCAGAGAACAGGCGCTCGCACTCCATCCTTCCTCACACATCCCAAGTAGCCAAGTCAAAATGTGGCCTTCGGGTTTAATCAATGCTTGTGCTGCAACATGATGCCTTATTGTTCTTTAATGACTGACGTCACGAAGTCATGAACGGTTGGTTAGCTCTTTGTAAAAAAAATCCTTGTTTACAAGGAGACGGCACCGCAGGGCGGTTGCCACCAATTTTAACAGAAGCAGTCCGTGTGGGTGACGGGCTGCGATTCGCGTCATGAGCACGATCAATGACGCGTCGGGCGATGACATGCAAACATCGCCTGGCATGTTTATGTGTCTGCTCGAACAATTTTGCACAGCCATTTACTTCGATCTTCAGAATTAGCAGTCAGTGACACGTTCGAGTCAGCCGGTGCACAGCTTTGCCCCCTCTGCGTCTCGTCCTTCCTGCTTGTTGCGGAGCGCAACTCGCAAGAAGAATGAGATGTGAAGTGACAGCTGACTGGGGGAGAAGGACAAGCGGGATCCATCGCCCTACCATGTTCCTCTACGTTTTTTTTTTTTTTTTTTTTTGGCTGGGTTATTATTTGGTAAATTTTTTAGTGGTGGAA